ACCAATGTCATAAAACATGTGTACTACTGTTTCATGAGAAACTATTTGTTCTGTAAGCCTTCACCTGAAGTACAATAAAATATAAAAATAAAAAAATAAAAAAACATTGCCATCAAGTTGATTCCAATGCATGGTGACCCCATGTGTGTCAGAGTAGAACTGAGCTTCACAGAGTTTTCAATGGCTGATTTTTCCAATCTGGGTGCATTTTAATTCTTTTTCTGGCCTTATTGATCTGGCTATAACTTCCAGTACAATGCTGAACAGAAGTAGTGAGAACAGACATCCTTACCTTGCTTCTGGCCTTAGGGAGAAAGTATTCAGTCTTTCACCACTAAGTATGATGTTAGCTGTGGGGTTTTCATAGATGCCCTTTATCAGACTGAGGAAGTTCCCTACTATTCTTAATTTGCTCAGTGTTTTTATCATGAAACAATGTTGGATTTTGTCAAATGCTTTTTGTGCATCTATTAAGATGATCCTGTGGTTTCTGTCCTTTATTCTATTAATATGGTGTTTTATATCGACTTGTTTTCATATTGTTGAACCTTGCATTCTTGGGATAAATCCTACTTGGTCATGGTATATACAACTTTTTACGTTGCTGGAGTTGGTTTGCTAGCATTTTGTTGAGGATTTTTGCATCTATGTTCATAAGAGACACTGGTCTATAGTTTTCTTATGATGTCTTTTTTCTGGTTTTGATATCAGGATAATACTGGCCATGTAGAATGAGCTGAGAAGTGTTCCATCCTCTTCTATTTTTTGGAAAAGTTTGTGAAGGGATGGTGTTAATTTTTTAAACATTTGGTAGAATTCATCAGTGAAGCCATCTGGGCCTGGGCTTTTCTTTGTGAGAAGTTGTTTGATCAATAATTCAATTTCTTTACTTGTTATCCTTCAATTCAGACTTCCTGTTTCTTCTTGAGTCAGTTTCCATAGCTTGTGTCTTCAAAGAAATTTGTCCACTTCATCTAGGTTATATAATTTCTTGGCATACATAGTATTCCCTTATTATGCTTTTTATTTCTTTCAACCTGATTTTAGTAATTTGAGCCTTCTCTCTTTTTTCTTGGCCAGTCTAGTAGATATCAACTTTATTGATATTTTCCAAGAATCAACTTTTAGTTTTGTTGATTTCCCTATTGTTTTTCTATTCTCTATTTCATTTATTTCCACTCTAATCTTTATTATGTCCTTCCTTCTGCTTGCTTTGGGTTTACTTTGCTCTTCTTTTTCTAGTTTTTTAAGGTGGAAGGTTAAGTCAGTGATTTAAGATCTTTATTTTAATATAGGTATTTACAGCTATGAATTTTCCTCTAGTTGTGTCCCATACGCTTTGGTATGTTATGTTTCTGTTTTCATTCAAAGTATTTTCTAATTTTCCTTGTTCTTTTTTTACCCATTGATTATTCAAGAATGTACTGTTTAATTTTCAAATATTTGTGAATTTCCCAAATTTCCTTCTGCTATTTATATATAATTTCATTCCACTGTGTTTGGAGAACATATTTTGTATGATTTCAATCCTTTTAAATTTATCGAGATTTGTTTTATGGCCTAGTCAATGGTCTATATGTTTCCTGTGCACTTGAAAAGACTGTATTCTGCTGTTGTTGGGTAGAATGTTCTATAGATGTCTGTTAGGTCTATTGTTTCATGTTTTAGTTCAAGTCTTCTATTTGTTTGTCTAGTTGTTATATCCCTAATAAAATTTCTTATCTCAAATGGCAACACCAGTAAGTATCACAGGTGCTCACTACCTGACTCTTCAATCTAGTAGAACACATGCATTGCTGGCTGCAGGTCTGTAGCCTGAGAAGGCTCTGAAGTTCAACAACTTCTTCTTAGGCTTCCTTATGATATCATTAATGGAAATTAAAATGGAAAAACAAATGAGTTCCATGCCCTGACCTCCTACTGCATGATCATTTTTATTTTACTATGAGTGTCTCCTAAAAACTAAATTTATCCATACTTCAGCAAATGCTCTAAATATATTGGGAGATCTCTGTAGGCAGGATTCCTGTAGCCAGAGTGGCCGGCAAGTAAGTAGAAGTTTTTATGCCAGACTCTCCTACTTCCAACCATCCTCAAAAGCCCATCTCCTATACCTACTCCAATATGATGTGCAACTGCAGTTGGTTTTCCTAGGCAAGGGAAATCCAAACTGCTTTGGACATGAGTTTGGTCAAGTCTGTAGCTAAAGGAAGGAGAATAAGAGTTCAACTGCCCCCACATACTCAAGCTACTCCTTGGTTTCCCAGGGACCGACTGAGCCACTGGGCACCATCTTCCACCAGCCAAGTCCTTAACCGATAGGCTGCTACCCAAAGACCTGAGGGATCAATGCACTGGGCTTTCCGCCTTCCTTTTTTTTTTTTTAATTGTTCTTAAAAGATCCTACATCCCGCAAAAAGCATCCTCTTCTGCCATCTCCACCCAGATAACTCAAGCAACTGAAAAAAGAAATATTTCAAGTAGTTCTGTCTTTGGATATCTGAATGAGGTATGGTTAGGTGCCCCATGATTTCACTTTCCATTAAAAGGATTTCTCTAAAGTCACAAGATCATCTTAAGGAAAACACATTCACATTTTCTATCACTACCTCCACAAAATACTATTTAATTGAAAAATTTAGGTAAGTGTTCTTCGTTTATTTAATCAAGCCTTCCCTAATCTGACGATGGAGACCAAGTTAGGCACGCAGATCAATTCCAGATCTTACATTACTTTTTACAAATAACAACAGCAACACCTAATCTGTTTACCATGTAAATTAAAATGCCCAAGATAATTTCAGACATCATTTCTCCTAAAACAACCAACTCTTTTCTTTGTACAAATATTAACGGTCCAAGCCATCGGCCTTCATTATTGTATTTTAACTAATTTGATCTGAATTTTATGAGAGGTTGATTTTCAGTTAATCAATACAGAAGTTTTCAAAAGGTCACACCCTAAGAAAAGACTTACACCACAGAGCAAGCATAGCATCCTTTCTTGCTACTCTCTCGAATTAAGAATGCTCCATCAGGTTTTCCATAAAGCAGGTCTTCTGCTTGTACTCGATTGATATCCTCAACAAACCAGGTTTTCTCATCATAATGGGGCAAGTTTTCATCTTCCTCATTCATAAAATAGGTCCTAAAAATTAATGTTAAAATATTATTTTAACAATCAGGTTACTTATTTCTAAAAGGAAATTTGTAAGTAAAGCTTGCCTCTAAATCTTTAACCACAAAAGGACAAAGTTAAATTGCAGTTAGTTTTGGGTTGAGTTTTGTTTGTTTGTTTGTTTTAAGAACTTCATTACTTGCCATGGTGCAGAAAGCACCGAATTCACATGTCCCACAGAATAAACTGAAATATGAATGTCTGTGTGCTGATGCATACAGATTTTATGTAACTAGACAGGTCTCTGAAGTCAAGAGCCTATAAGGTACTCTTCAGGCAATTCAGTTCAAAAGAGATGCAAAGTTCTGGATTCAATGTCCTCAAGCGACAGTGAGAATTAACATTTAGCATGTATAAATAAGGCCCATGTCTTATACTGGGAACAAAGCCCTCTGACAGAATGGTACAGAGAGAACATACTCATCGGCATCCTCATTCTTGATTCCCAGCCAGGCATTCAGACGCTTCTGTCTCACTCCTTTGTGATTGAGCCATCTGCCAGAAGGAAGACACCGGTGTCAGTATCTGTGCAAACTCTGCCTGGACAAAGTAGACACACCCCAGCCAACCAACCTCCCAGAGTCCAGGAACCCCTTTTCTTCCCCAATCTCACAAAGAGTAGTGAGAGATTTCCCTAAATTAGTCTCTCCACTAATTTTCCTTCAACTAATACCACTTGGAATTAATCCCTTCTGCGAAAAGCAATACAGAGAGCCACTTGAAATTAGGCACTTTTCATTTTCCTTTTTGAGAAGGTTATATCACCAAAAGCACACACATACTTGCATTCATACATAGGTACTTTTGTTTCTGAAATCATTAGGTGAGCATGGTGCCTTTTCACAAATAGGTAATCTTTGTTAAACCAGAAGGCTCTATTCCTGTGTGGCCTATGGCATTGAGTTTAAAATTCAAAAACAGAAATTCAAGGTCATTTTTTGCACCTAAGCAAGCCACAAGAAATTCAGAGTGGCAATGTGAGTATTTAATATTGCTTTTACCTCACTGCTAAGCAAATCATAGTATCTTAAAATCTACTAACATTTTAGACGTAAAATGATATAAACCATCACACTTATTAGTTCCTTTAAGATGGTCAATGGTCTAAAATCAGAGTGGAGTATAAAACACTTTGATCCATCACTACCCCACAACCAAGGCTCCTGATCATTAGGCCTCATCACAGACATGGTCTCCTCAGGTAGGACTCCCCTGATTGTCCCAACTAAGGCCATTCCCCTAAACACTCTTTACACTTTATCATATTCATATACTTCTTTGTGCCTGAAATTAATTTTTTTTTTACTTGTCCCCCCCCCATTAAAATGTAAGCTCTTTCAAAGAAAGGGGTCTGTTCTGTTCATGGCTGTATTCCCAAAGCTTCAAACTGTGCCAGCACATAGTAAAGATTCAATAAATAGTAAATATTTGCTGGCTGGCTGCTTTTAACAAAATCGTCACAACTCTGAAGTATTCAGGGTCATCTTATATCTCTCTCTGACCCCCAGTACATTAGATAACTAATTTTAGAGTTCTGTTAGACAGATTCCACAGCCTTTCTTAGTTAGGCCCATCCTTCAGTTAACCTGGATCTCATAGTTTACTTTTAGTGAAGGTGGAAGCCAGCTAACATGTGACCCTTCATAGAACTTATTTAGTAACAAATCCCTTTCTATACCATAATTTCTCTTAGCAAAATATTCAGATTCCCTCCTCTAAATATTTTTATCACCCAAAGTTCTCTATCCTTAAAGAAACTGACCTTTCCATTATTGAAGAGAAACGCGCAGTAAGTAAAAGACATGAAATGAACAAACTGCATTACATTTCCTCAAGTCCCCATTTTCTTTTAAACATCAACCTCTTTAAACTGAATCTCCCTTTCTACCACTGAGAATGTTAGGACACCCCAAAAACGAAAGGCCAGGAGAAAGAGAGAAAATGTTTTTGGTCTTCCCTCCACTTACATAGTGAAACCCGTGACAGCTGGAACTTGACAGAACTGCCTTGTTTTTACCAGTCTCACAAGTTTTCCACTTTGACAGGGTACAGTCTTACCACTTTCGATTGCTCATTTTAGTGAAAAATATTTTAGTTTTCCTTCTGTGATGTGATGGTCTTGTAGCTCCCACCTAAGTGACTGGGTGGGGCTGTGATATAGGTTAATTGTGGCCCACCAAAGGGATTGGTCAGTTTTGCCATCCTTCTGCTGGGTTTGAAATAAGCCACCCCAGAGGCAGGAAAGAGAGGATCCCACCACCACCAAGGAAGAATAGCCGGGAGCCAAGAGTGTGTCCTTTGGACCTGGCTGAGATGCCCCTGGAACCAGGAGACAGAGATAGAGCTCTAACACTGAAGGTAGCACGGTGGCAGAGACCTGGCAGCAGGAGACAGTGGGGTGGGCTTCCTGGCCCACAGAGAGAGAAAGCTTGAGTGCCTTTGAGGAGACACCTAGGGCCACACAGCTGTGAGCACAGCTGGGAAGAGGCTATACTGATGGAGGAACTGTATTCTGAGTGTTCCTGAACCTGAATTATAACTGTTACTTCCCTAAAAACCCCATAATCGTGAGTACTGTCTGTGAGTTCTGTGTGGCCATTTCAATGAATTATCAAACTTAGCAAAGAAGTAGAGCGTGACGTGGGAGGGACAGCTGGTGTCAGAATTGGTAAAGATGGCAGAGAGAGGAGGCTTGTCTGACCTCTACCCCATAGGAATCAGCCTTCGTGTTGCTGATCTTGATTCTTCTTTCCCCCTGTGAAGTCAGAAGAGGTCAGACACTGCCTCCATGGCATTTTTACACCTTCTCTGACAGGTTTCCACCTTACACAGATTTTACTGTAACAGTGTCTACCTTTTGACACAGGCAATTTTTCTAAGCTCCTAAAAGTCAATTTATAGCTCTGAGTTCTTAAATATCTATTAACAATGCAGGGAAATGACTAGCTTTTAAAAATGATTTTGAAAAAGCTCAAATAGCTTTAGTAAATATGCTAGTTCATATTTAACTTATTATTTAACTTTTTATTAATAAGTAATTCCCAGATCACATGTAAAGGCATTACATTCTAGAAGAACCAAGCTGAGGCAATGAGTCAAAAGATCTGACATCCAGTTCTAATTCTATTATTAATTATGTGGTCTTAGAATAGCCTCTCTTTGTGCCTCAGTTTTCTCTTCCAGAAAATAAGGAAAACACTACTCCTATAGCTTACATTGAAGTTATCTTATGCAAGAAAAGAAGAAAAAAACCAGCTGATTTTGGCATGTCCTTTCCTAGCCCACACCCCAGCAAGTGGGAAAAATATATATATACAATGCCCTTTCTAAAGGTCTTAGCTGGCCTTATAACCCAACTAAAAAAACCAGTTGCTGCTGAGTCTATTCTGACTCATGGCAACCCATGTATGTCAGAGTGGAACTTATGCTTCTTAGGGTTCTAGATGGCTGATTTTTACATCACCAGGTCCTTCTTACAAGATGCCTCTGGGTGGACTTGAACCACCAACCTTTTGGTTAGCAGCTAAGCACGTCAACCATTTGCAAAACCCAGGACTCCTACAACCCAATTTCAACCCTCTAAGACAAAAAGAGCTGATGTTTTGGTCCAAGAGAAGAGGGTTATGCTAGACAGTCTCTGAGAAAGAGGGATAGCAGCAGGCCTGGAGGAAAGTTTAAGCTTCCCTAGAGCTTAGTTAAAGTATGAGATGGGGTGACAAAAGAGGGTGACTCATTCACAGGGCATCCTGAATGGGGGACAATATAGCTTCAAGACGCAAAGTCTGTTGTTGGCCAATGAAGAGGTAATTACTGTGAATGGCATCTCTAAATTTTCTGAAATAGCAGTGTTACTACTGTTAATGATTAGGAGCAGAGGGAGCACCCAATGATGGCAGTCCAAGGGAAAGGGGACTTCGTGATCTCCTAGTTTCCTAGCACTACTTCAGAATGACATTCTTATATAATCCAAGTGTATAAGTGTGTGTGTGTATGTTTGAGTGTGTGTGTATAGCAAACCTAGTTGCTGTCAAGTTGACTCTGACTCATGGCTACCCTATGTGTGTCAGAGTACAACTGTGTTAGATAGGGTTTTCAAAGGCTGATTTTTAGGAAGTAGCCAGGTCTTTCTTCCAAGGTGTCTCTGGGTAGACTCAAACCTCTAACCTTTTGGTTAGCAGCCTGGTGCATTATGTTTGCACCACCCAGGGACGTGTCCGTGTACAGCAGGTAGGAACAGCCCCAACAATAACTGAGATTAAATATCTCAGATAAACAAGCACATGACAACTTGGAATAAATTAATTCTAATTTAAAGAAAAACAGGAATGCAACTTGTCTTGCACCAAGTTTTGTGGGCAGAACTTCAAATTCCTATATAAGGGTAAAATCAGATAATACATAAGACACTTTAAAATGAAAAATCACTTATAAAAATTTAGAGTTATTAGAGGTAAGTTAAGGAGTGATGTATTGATTTTAAAAGCCCAGAACTTCACTTCTGGTGGGATTATAAAATGTTGCAGCTAGTTTGGAAAACAGTCTGACAGTTCCTCAAATGGTTAAGCATAGAATTAACATATGACTCAGCAACTCCACTCCTAGGTATACACCCAAAAGAAATGAAAATATGTATCTACACAAAAACTTGTATATGAATGTTCATAACAGTATTATGCCTAACAGTCAAAAGGCAGAAACAACCCAAAGGTCTATTAGCTGATGAATGGTTAAGCAAAAACAGTATATCCATACAATGGAATATTATTGAGCTATTAAAAGAAATGAAGTACTGACACATGCTACCGCATGGATGAACCTCGAAAACATTATGCTAAGTAAAAGAAGCCAGTCATAAAAGACCACACATTTCATGATTCCATTTATAAGAAATGTTCACAACAGGAAAATCTATATAGACATTGAGTAGATTAGTACTTCTTTAGAGCTGGGGGTAAGGGAGCAGGTGCTGGGGGGTTGACAGCTAAAGGGTATAGGTATTTTTCTGAGGTGATGAAAATGTTCTAAAACTGACTGTGGCAATCGTTGCAAACATCTCTGAATATACTAAAAACCAATGGATTATATATTTTAAATGGGTGAATTGTATGCTATGCAAACTATATCTCAATAAGGCTATTAAACAAACAAACAAACAGAACACACCACTTGCGAAGGACCTCTTTAGCAGCAAACTCCCTTACCACGTATTAGTCAAAGTTCATCATTAATGCACCTGTATTTTAATGACAAGTTATTCTTTATTTTGAATTTATGAATGCTAAAAAAAAGATGGTGCTGTTATTGTTAGGTGCCATTGAATCGGTTCTGACTCATAGCTACCCTATGAACAACAGAACGAAACACTGCCCAGTCCTGCATCATTTTCACAATCCTTGCTATGTTTGAGCTCATTATTGAAGCCACTGTGTCAATCCATCTCATTGAGGGTCTTCTTCTTTCTCGCTGACCCTCTACTTTACCAAGCTTGGTGTCCT